TTTTTTTTTTTTTTTTAACCTGGTAGCCAGCAGCTTGTTCAGTGGGAGCAAAAGGGTGAAGATCAGAAAATTCGGGCCACGTCACAGGCATCATTTCAGTTGTTGCATTCAGTTTCATTGTGCAAGAGCCCAATGGAATCATGCTATGGCACAAAGAGAGATCCTTTGACTGAAGCCTGTGAAGGTACCTCAGGAGCTCGTGTTCAGTGTGGTACCTACACCATCAGCGTAAAAGTTAAAGAATTTATAATTATCCTCACAAGTTATGATTCAAGCTCATTACTTCATATTGATGATAAAATATATTGTACGAATTAGATGGTCATACGAGTTGAATATTTGGTGAGTTAAATATGGGCTCTCCCTCGTAAGCCCTGAAGGGATAAGATTTTGAACTTCCGGTGCAACAGACTCGGCAGTGAATGTCACCTGACAAACATAACACATAAGATATAATAAACCTATATAGTTGAAATTTAGTGATATGTGTAGAAATAAATACTCTTACTTACCGGCTTACCACCTGCAAAGACTCCAAACAACTTGTCCACGTCTTCCAATGTGGTGGTCTCATCAAAAGAAACAGTTATCTGAGACATATAAAAGGTCGTGAATATCACCAAGCTCTTAACAAATTATGATAAAAAAAAAAGAGAAAAAGATAAGCAAAAAAAAAAAAAATTACAGTGTTCTTGTCGACAATTCTCAAATTTATTTTGTTCTTGTAAGCGGCATCAGCAATAGGCTTTGCATCAGCACATTTGACCTTCACAGTGTCGAAAAAGGGAAGGCCCGGTACTTCTACAGTCCCCAGCTTTTTCAAACCAGCAGCAAATGTTCCAGCCAGGCCGTGAACCCTTTGGGCAATAGTTTTAAGGCCCTCAGGACCATGATACACAGCATACATGGCGGCCATGTTAGCAAGCAAGGCCTACAAAACAGAACGAGTTTCTTATGAAAAAAAAAAAACATGTTTTTTACGCGTAAATCAATTCACCAACATGAAGTATATACACAAAAGTGTCTGCAAGCACCAACGAAGAAAAGATTGTTAAAAGTTGACCTCAAAGGATGATCGATAAAAGAAAGAGAAAAAAAAAAGAAACTTTACAAACATCAACTATAGTTTGTAATTGTGTTCTTCGAATCAGACTCTAACTCTCTATTCTGATTCCAGTTTAACACACACAACAAAAAAAAACAGCTTATCCATCCCCAACACTACCAACTATCCATTGGCAAGCAAGGCCTACAAAACAGAATAGTTTCTTCTGAAAAAACATGTTTTTACTCGCAAATCAATTCACCAACATTAAGTACATACACGAAAGTGTCTGCAAACACCAAAGACGAAAAGGAATGTTAAAAGTTGATAACGAAGGAAGGGCGATAAAAAAGTCTTTTCAAATATAAACTACAGTTTG